TAAAAAAAAGGAAAAAAGAGACCAAAGGGTTAATATTATCTCAATTGAAGAAGAAATAAATAAAGAAATCAACTTAAAAAAATTTACAAAGAACAATCAAAACTCAGAGAATTGAAAAATAACAAAAAATAAAAAACAACCACTCTTGAAGAAGATCATTGAAAATGATTAGTACAGAGGTCTATATATATGGAATGATAGATAGGTAAGAAAAAAAAAATCAAAGTTTTAAAAATTTTAATTTCAAAAATTCAAAAGAATTCAAAAGTTTTAAAAATTTTAATTTTGAAATTCAAATGTTTTAAAGTATTAATTATTTAAATTTTAAGATATAGCTAAGCATGGCCATATTACGGTTTCGGGAACCGGAACCGTCGGTTCGAACCGGCCCGGAACCGTAACCGGAACCGGTGAGAACCGAAACCGAAAAATTTCGGTTCGGTTCCGGTTCCAGAAAATTAGGAACCAAAACTGGCGGTTCCAGAGAACCGGTCGGAACAAAAGTTTTAAAAATATTTAATTATTGAAATTCCAAATTTTTAAAGTATTAATTTAATTTTAATTTTAAGAATATAGCTAAGCATGGCCATATTACGGTTTCGGGAACCGAGAACCGTCGTTCGACCGGCCACGAGAACCAAAGTAACCGGAACCGGTGAAAACCGAGAACCTAGAAAAATTTTCAGGTTCGGTGTTGGTTCCGGTTCCAGAATATAATTTAGGAACCAAAACTGGCGGTTCCAGTTAGAACCGGTCGGGAACGGACTGGAACCGCCGATTCTCCGGCTGGTTAGAACCGGCGGTTCGAAACCAGACGGTTCTAACCCGTTGTATACTGATCAGCATTCCTGGTTATTTTTTTTTTTAATTTTGTTGTGATCTCTTAAATTTTCTTCCTCCAGCAACAGCATAAGGAGGAATTGACTGACATACACGCGGCTAGTTTCAAGGGTATTTTTGAAAAAATGAATTTTTTAGATTTATTATAAAATAGCTATTTTTTATTGACAAAATTCAATTACAAAAAAATCTCAAACTCTCTCTACTTACTCTCTCTACAATATACTACATCTCTCTACTTACTCTCTCTACAATATACTTACACTCTACTCTATATTATTCATTTATTCTTCTCTAATCTACTAATCTCTCTTATTAAGTAATTATTCTCTCTAATTCTTTTTTTATTCAATTTTCCAAATTATATTTTAATTATCATAATAATGGGCAAGTGGCATGGAAACTCAAATTCGAGTAAGGGCAAGGGAAAAAGAATAAGGGAGAATCAATCTAAATCCCTAACAAAACGACAATCTATGATATGAAATTCTCCGACCAAATTTAAATTTTGAGGGTTAATGCAATGAGGGAATTTGGGATATTCCAACTCAAAGAATTTGAATTTAAATAGAGCAATTTCCAAAGAAGATAAGAGGGCAAGAGTCAAGAGAAACAGCCAAAAATTGTTACAAAGAAGCAAGACAAAGTTCCGATTACATATCCTCCATTCATTTCACAACAAAAAAATTCAAAATGGTTGAGAAAGGAGTAATACGATGTAGAATTTTTGCAATTTATTGTAGAATTCATCCTTATACACAATAATAATAAAACTAAGTCGGTGCACCGGCTACTGGCACATAATTTTTCGGAAGCTTTGGAGACAAAAGCAATCCAACAAAAATAGGAGTTTGATCGGTCTCAAGACCACAAATTTTCCGGGTAACGCTTCTAACCTTTCTATTTTATATAATTTTTAAAATGGTGTGGCGTTATATTCTGAAAAATTATACAAAAAGGAAGAATTAGCAAAAATGATTTCTATGGAACATTTATCTTTTAGTTTTGGTGAAAAAGTAAAGGTTTTTAATAATTAATTGTCAAAGGAAGAGTTTAAATCCTTCTGCTAAAAGAGTAACCATAGCAAAATACTGTAAAACGAACTATTATTTTTTATATAAATAAAGAAAAAGAGTTTAGAGCTTTTATTTTCTCACTGAAATTCGGTTGTTTCAATTTGTTTTGTGATGTTTGGAGTGATCATTGGCAATGCATTCTTATATGGGTATTACAATTCCATTGGATTGATGATTGATTGGAAAATTCAAAAAAAGAATTTATTGGTTTTCCGTGTTTTTGATGATAAACATACTGGCAAATAATAATTTATAGAGTAATTGTTTCAGTCTTTTAGACTAAATATAAGTTGAACAAAAAAATTTTTTCATTTCATTTGATAATGGCTTCTGTAAATATTAGATCAAATTATTGGAACTTAAAAAATTTGGTGAACCAAAAAATATTGGTGGAAAATTTTTTCATATAAGATGTTGCATGCCATGTTTATTAAAATTTCTGTGTAAAAGATGGTTTTAAAAAATTCTTGAATCTTTTTATTTTCCCATTAAAAAAAAAGCTATTTCATTTTATGGAGCACATCCCCAAGTGGATGAAAGTTGGTGCTAAATTTTGTAAAGAAAAATAATAAAAGACGCAAAACGTTTTCCAAGGGATGTCCCAACTCGTTGGAAATTCAACATATGAATTACTAAACGAGTCTTTTTCTTAATAAAGAATGTATTATGCTTTTTTTGTTACTAATAAATATTGAAGGATTTAATTTATATCCACAAAATTGGGAGATTTGTGCAAAAAATTTTTTAGATATTTTAAAAATTTTTAAATGATGTTACCTTATAAATTTAGTGGGTTTATATCAGCACATCTAATTTATTTTTACCTATGTGTATTTTAATATTTGTTACTGCACTCAAGAATTTTCCAAATGATGATTTATTAAAAGATTGTATTTTTTTCAAATGAAAAAAAATGGTTTATCCTTATTTTTAAAAATAAATAGCACCGTAATTCTTTAATTTTGTTCTAATTGTATTTGTCCTAGGATGTAGAGAAAATGGATATTTTAATGCTGATTATTTAACTATTTACACTTATTTATTATGACGTATTTAAATCTTGATGTAGAAGATAATATTATATAAATATTAATATGTATGAAGTTTAAACAAAAATATTATGCAATTATATTAATGATTTATTCAAGTTTCTAGTTAAATTCATCTACTTCTACCTTTTTACTTCTTCTCAATCTAATATTCAATAGCTGAATTTTCACATTTACACAAAGGGTAGTGGACTGCTTGAGAATATTGCTTCAGGAACAAGTTTTACTACAAAGACAAAAAAGAACAAGGGAAATCTAATTCTTATTTCTGAATTTGAGTGAATTTATCTCACACAACTTCTTTTGAGTTTGGTGATCGATTTATAGCAGTACTAAATATTTTTTCCTCAATACTAAAAGATTTTTTCTTAATCTTCTTAGAAAATTGGGGAGTCGTCACGGCAAATACTTTTCCAATTCCTTTCTTTACTTGCAAACAAATTTTAGCAGCTCCGGTTCCACTGATTGGCGGTTGAACAAGCTTTTAGTCAATAAGGAGGAAACATACTTGATGAAATCACGATCTTCCGTTGACACCCGATTCATTAGAAGCACAAGTATGCGTGGTATGATTGGAACCAAAGCAAGACTGAACTAAGAGCACAAGAAAATCTAAAAGAAAATGAAGATTTATATGATCTTTATGATGGGTCCTCAACGGGAACATCAACCGGTAGTGGAAATAACGAATAAGGTAAAAGTGGTGAAATTGCTACAAGATAAGTAAGACTATGTGGGCTTTGATTCCTCTAAACCTCGAGAGGATATGTAGGTAACTTAATTTTTTTAAAAAAAATTAAGTTCAAGCCCTTTTTTTTTTGAAAAAAAAATTTATGTTCTAACTTTTTTAAACAAAAAATAAATTTAGTGGAAAACTTTTTTTTTTTAAATAATTAAGTTCAAGTCTTTTCAACCAAAAAAAAAAAATTTAATTGAAGCATTTTTAATTTTTTAAGTGTATTTTTTTTTAGAAATAAATTTCACAAATTTTTAAATTTTGAAAATCGATTTTCAAAATTTCAAAGTACATCTTCTTTTTAAAATATATTTAGTTTTAACTCCATTTTAAAGCGCGGTCTTACACACATTTAAAAAATTTTTTTAGGTGTATTTTTATAATTTTTTATGTTCACCAAATTTAATAAAATTTTTTTAATTCCTTTAAAAAACGGTCCTTCAACATTTAAATTTAAAATTATGCGATTCTTTCGTCGGTTTTGTAAACCGGATCGGACCCAAGAAGCCGGACCTTTTCGGTTCGATTCTGGTTCCAATTTTTCTAAGAAAACGCGGAACGTGGCCAAGTGTAGATATAGCTATATATTTAGGTTAAAAAGATATAGGAAAATAAATATTTAAAAATTAAGAAAAATTTGTTAAAAAAACTGTTGAAAGAATAAGAGTGCCACGTAAGCCTTTTTAAAAAGCTTTTTTTTTCAGGATTTAATATATATATATTTATATTATTATATATTATATATATCTATATTATTATTTATTACTATTAATATATATTGATATTTTTTTCTTTATAAGTAAATGAATTGGAATTTTATTTCAAAAAATTTTCATTTAAAAAAATTAAAAATAACTAATTCTAATTAATGATATTATAGAAAATTATTATATTTAAAAATAAATAATTAATACCTTATGAATTTATTTAAATAAATAAAATTTAAGGTAAATACATTTTATGTATGGCTAAACCAAATTTAAAACTAATTTACCTATTAAGAAATCCCAAAACCAAGTATAAGTAAAATGAATTGGAATTTTATTTCCAAAAAATTTTCATTTAAAATTTAAATACTAATTCTAATTAATGATATTATAGAAAATTATTATATTTAAAATAAATAAATTAATACCTTATGAATTTATTTAATAAAATTTAAGGTAAATACATTTTTATGTTGCTAAACCAAATCTTAAAACTAATTTAAACCTATTAGAAATCCCAAAACCAAGATAAAACCAAACTAAACCCCACGATTTGGGCTAAATCGAACCCTAATTGAACATAAACCGACTTTGACTAATTAGAAAGCTCCAGAAAACAAAAATGTCCCAAAAAATCATCACCCTTCTCTTCTCTCTCCCCGATTCCAGCGACAGCCCCATTTTCCCCCTCTTTCTGTGATTTCCGGCCACTTGATCTCAAGTCCGGCTGACCAGACCTCCTTCTCGCCGCCATTGCTTCTTCAGTTACTCCCTCTACATTTTCAGTCGGTATAGCGCAGGAACGAGGGAGGTGTTGAGCTGCGATTTTCGATCGAGACAGCCAGCACCCTCCCATTTTCTTTTCGTTTTTTCGGCAAGACCAGCCAAGTCCCGCTAGCACAGACTTCCCGCCTTGTCACCACCCTTCTCCGGCTGCTATCCTCTCCGTTTTCCAGACTAGTAGCGACACAGCGACGAGTTGAAAGGGAGAGCTGTGTTTTTCCGATCGCTTGACCGGAATATGTAATTTCCGACGCAAAATACAGCTGGGTAAGCCTATTTCTACTTTTCCCCATCCATTCTACGAATTCCATTCAATAGTTTGTAAATTAAATCACATAATTTCAAGATTTTTGTATTTAGGATTCCAAAGTACTATACAAAAAAAATGCAGAAATCTTGAAGTAAACTACAAATTAAAGTTATAATAGGATGATAGTCTTATTTTTAGAGGAGGTTCTATCAGAATTTCAATGGAATCTAGACTAGTATTTATTTTAAGTAATTCTTAAACTTTATTTATTTAAATAGAGTTCTTTATTTAATTCTTTTCCTTCTTTTGTACTTAAATTTTATATAGATTGTCTGAGTTCATCTATATATCGCTCTCACAAGCCAAAATCCAAATTAGAGCTTCTCCTCTTCTTAATCATTAATAATAAATGATGCACACTATCACTAGCATGCATAATCATTTACCATTTAGATAATCAATAAATACAATTTAGTAATCATTTCTATATTATTATCATTTTATTATTAATATATTATATATTTATATTTATATCTTGTTTGCATTTTAATTATTAATTTGGTGCATCTTATATTGAATAAATTGTTTGATTACTTGTATTATGATATTGATTTGCCTTGTTTGTGTGGAATTGGGATGAAGTAGGTCACCATGGGATTTCTGACGGCGGTCTATGATACCGTTGGCCATTTATGGGGAGATCGGTGCCCGCGTGGATCTGATAATATGAATTAAATGGAAAATCATAGGGTGGCCTCCTATTGGTAATGGAAAAGAAAAGAGAGAATAGAAAAACAATGAGACGGCCGATCAAGTGAAGATTAGATCGGTCGGCCATGTATGGAGAATCAGCTCCTTAATGTACACATCATAAGATGACGGGCCATGTGTGAGGACGTCTCATGGGGGTTTTGATGACACCATAGACCAATTTCCACTTGTTTGATTATGTGGAGGTGCTCTTATATGTAAATGTTGTTGTTGTGCCATGTGCTTGACAAATTGAGTGTTCATTTTAATATTTAGGATGCATCTCGTGTGATTGCTTGTGCTATGCATTATTTATTACTGTTCTCTGAGTTGCAAAACTCACTTGTATTTTATTTAATTTTTTCAGGAAGTAGACTCTCTGTAGTTTGATTAAACCTCTGTGTCCTTCACTGTAGAGCTAGAACAGTAATTTCTCAATTTTAGCAGTTATTTAATTATGTAGCCTTATGTATAAGATCTTAATTATATTTACTTGTTGAACTCCGCAGTTGTAGGATTATGATAATTCTAATTATGTATCAGTACGAGCATGCTAAATGTTGAACTTATATGGATGTTTGAAATAATTATTTTTGTGCATTTATGGACCAGTTAGCCTATATTATTGATGTTGTGTATTCTAATTGGCCCTGAGCTATGAGATGCTTGAACTGTTTTTGGATCAGGGTATAACATGATTACAAAACTCTTATATTAAGGACTATGGGCTTACTATTCCTAAGATCCATTTGATGTGATTGGTCTATGTAATTTACGCTTACTATAGGCTTTGGGAGTCTTAAGCTTACCTAGTCCCTAATGTTGATCTGGCTTTATGGTATTGGGTTGTGACAATAACCCCTTGTTTAGTGAATTTTACAAAATTCTGTAAAATTCATTTGGAAATTCATATTTTGTGTTTGAAATGAAAAAAAAAAAAAATTTAGATTTCAATTCTAGGATGGAATTGAATATAATTATATCAAATTTTATAAAAATAGATGAAATTGTCGAATGAATTTTACAAAACTAAGTAATTCAACTTTTATGATAAAACTATTATTCTCCTTTTATAAAATTTATTTTTCAATTTTTTTTGTTTACTATTGAGGAGAGAAAGTTAAATATATATTTACACCGAATTAAATTCAAGAATTTTATTAATATTATTTTTATTTTTATATTTATTTTAATAAAATTATATAAAAAAATTATATAGCAGAAGATAGATATAATTGATATTTATTATTTATTTCTATGAAATTACTATTTCAAGGATATTTTAGAAAATAAAGCAAATTAATTTTCAATTATAAATTTATTTCATACATGATTATTTGAAATACAATTGAATTGCATATTTTAAATTAATCATTAAGGACAAGATATAATTGATATTTACTTATTTATGGTGGTGGGCTGATGAAATTACTATTTCCAAGGATATTTTTAGAAAAAATAAAATAATAAAGCAAATTAATTTTCATTATAGAATTTATCATACATGTTATTTGAAAATACAATTGAATTGCATATTTTAGAAATTATCATACCAAACAATGAAGATCATTCACCAAATGAATTCTACTATACTATTTCAAGGATATTTTAGAAAATAAAGCAAATTAATTTTCAATTATAAATTTATTTCATACATGATTATTTGAAATACAATTGAATTGCATATTTTAAATTAATCATACCAAACATGAAAGATCATTCACCAATGAATTCTACTAGAATTCATTTACAAATAATTTTATATTTTGAATTCATTTATACTAAATGGAGCTTAAATGTAAATCATTTTGAGAATATTAAAGTCTTATTAATGAATTTTTTTCAATATTACTCTCATAAAGGAATAAATAAATAAACTTTTTATTATAATGTAGGAAAATTAATTATTTTCTTAATCATTGTATAAAACTTTAAACGACTTATATTTATAGTCAGACCAACAATACTATTAATTAAATAAGGTACTTAAATGATGGTTTTAAAAATTGATAAATTAGTTCAAATTTCAACCTTAAGCATGAATAATGTATTAGTTCTTAAGGATAAAGAGTTGACTAACCCTTTCCCTAACACTTTGTTTGGGAGGGAGAATTTTATGGGAGGAAAGAACATGATGATGGAAAATAGCAAGAGAAAATTACTTTCACCTATTTGGGAAAGCTATGGAAAATATTAGTGGAAGGAAAATAAGTTGTATTTTCCATCCGGGCCCACTTAAAAGGTAATTTCCTCGAATTGGAGAGAAAATCAACTATTTTGCAAAGAAATTTTCACTGTTCAATGAAATTACAATAATACCATAACTTGATTCCTACAGATCCTTTATCAAATTCAACTGATTACAGTAGATTTTTTCTCAAATTTAGTTTATAACTGTGGATTATTTCTAATAAACCAAAAGAATCACTGCATAAACAAAAATCAAAATCTCCTTTCACCTTCACCTGTTATTCCATTTCCTCTTCTTTTTCAAATTTAATTTATAACTATAGACTATTTCCAATAAATCAAAAGAGCCACTGCATAAACAAAAAAACTCAAAATCTCTTTTCACCTTCACGTATTGTTCCTTTTCCTGTATAAATACCAAAAACAAACAAACAAGCAAACAAAATATTATTAAAAAAAAAAAAAAAGATTTGCAAATTTCAGTGGATAGCATCACACAAATTTTTGAAGGCTTTGCCGTAAAGGGAGAGATGAAAATAGAACAATCACAATCACAATCAGTGGTGGAAGAGTGGAGATGATGTTGTTTATGGTTTCTTGAATGACTTAGAACATTGGTCAAGATTTGTCATAAATGTGTGAGTGAGAGGGTATAAATCTGCAGGAGAAGAAAAAGGATTGGCAAAAAAAAAGTGAGAGATGAGAGGAAGAGACTTATTATGGTTCAGAAAGGTAAATAACAAAGAGAATGGATCTTCAGCTTGAGAAAAAAGATAAAAAGAAATAACATTATCTGTTTAACAATAATGAAGGATAAATTGGTAAATTTGCAATACTAATATTTTCTTTCCTCCCTTATATTTTCCTCCAAACCAAACATAAAGGGCAAAATAACATAGGAAAGAAAATAGTATAATACTATCTTATTTTCCTTTCTCTCCTTTCCAAACAGTGTAAAGGTACTCTCCCCCAATCAGAGAGAAAGTCAACTGATATAATCATCAAATTTCTGTCACGCAATTATAATTTATACTAATATAATATTCAGGTGATCCAACCTTGACTGGACTGTGGAGAGCCAGCACAATTACAATTTCCTTTTAACTTCCTCTTCCTTTCTTTTGTCCGAACCCCAGCAACTTTTCCTACTTAAGTCCTCTACAATTACATCCGCAGGCATCATCTTCTTTATCGATCTTTGCCCTCCCCACTTTCTCTTCCTTCTAAATTATTGCTATATATATATATATAATTTGACAAAAAATGAAGAGAGGAAGATCGGTTTCGTCACAAGTGCAGGGCTTTGACTTTGGCTACGTTCTATTGCTGCTTTTTATAGACATATTATTACTTGCTAGTGGATCAGCTGTGCTTCTAAGCAGCAACGATGAAGCTGTAAGTTTGGTAGCCTTCATGAGATCTTCTGTTCAATTAGATCCTAATAACTTGTTGGCCAATTGGACTTCCAATTCTTCTAGTCCATGCTCATGGGTTGGTGTCTCTTGCTCTCTTGATGGCCATGTCACTGCCCTCAACTTAAGCTATGCTGGTCTTATTGGCAGCATACGCCTCTCCAGCATCACAGCCTTGCCATTTCTCAAGCATCTTAGCTTACAGGGTAACTCTTTCTCTGTTGGTGGTCTTTCTGCCTCAAATGCTACTCCTTGCGCTCTCGAGTCTCTCGATTTGTCCTATAACAGTATCTCCAACTCTGTTCCAAAAAATTCCTTTCTTAAGCTGTGTAATAAGTTGGCTTATCTTAACCTCTCACATAATATGCTATCTGGAGAGATACCATCTACCTTTCTAGCAGATTCTCCTCCATCCCTTAAACATATAGATCTCTCACACAACAACTTTTCCGGGAATTTCTCCAATATGGACTTTGGGAGCTGCAGAAATCTCACTTTCATTAGTTTATCACATAATAGGCTTTCGGGCGAGGAGTTTCCATTTAGTCTGAGAAACTGTGAGGTAGTGGAGAGGCTTGAACTCTCCCATAATGAGCTTAGGATTAATGCCTATAAAAGCGCCTTGCTAGGAAGATTGAAGAATTTGAGGCAGCTATCTCTAGCTCACAATCAGCTTTATGGCAATATCCCTTCTGAATTGGGACAAGTTTGTGGGAATCTCCAAGAACTGGATCTATCAGCAAATGAACTTACTGGTGGTTTGCCGCTGAATTTTATATCATGTTCTTCTTTGCGGAGCCTAAACCTTGGCATGAATTTCCTTTCTGGAGAATTCCTCACTACAGTTGTTAGTAATCTTCAAAGTCTGACATATCTCAACATATCATTCAACAACGTAACTGGTCCTGTACCACTATCTTTGACAAATAGTACAAAGCTTCAGGTGCTTGATCTGAGTTCTAATGGCTTTACTGGGAGGATTCCTTCTAACTTGTGCTTCTCAAACTCCTCAAGGTTAGAGAAGATACTTTTAGCAGACAATTACTTATCAGGGAATATTCCCTCGGAGCTCGGAAGGTGCAAGAACCTGAAGAAAATTAATCTTAGTTTCAACAATCTAAATGGTCCAATCCCTGCAGAGATTTGGACCCTGCCAAATCTTTCTGACTTGATTATGTGGGAAAACAGCTTGACAGGTGAAATTCCTGAAGAAATTTGCAAGAATGGAAGTAATCTTGAGAGTTTGATTCTTGACAACAATCTCGTCAGTGGGAGCATTCCACAGTCCATTGGCAGTTGCACCAATATGATTTGGATGTCACTTTTCAGCAACCAACTTAGCGGAGAAATTCCAACTAGTATTGGGAATCTTGTTAATCTTGCTGTATTCCAACTGGGTAACAATTCACTTACTGGAAAAATACCGCCAGAACTTGGCAAGTGTAAAGCCCTTATTTGGCTTGACTTGAGCAGCAATAACCTTAGTGGACCACTCTCACCTGAGCTTGCAGACAACGCCGGACTAATTATACCCAGAACTATGTTAGGAAAGAGTTTTGCATTTGTAAGATATAAGGATATCGATGGGATGTCTTGCAGAGGAAAAGCTCTAATTGAACTTGAGGGAATTAGCACAGAGGGGCTACAAACTTCTCCTATGGTGCAATCTTGTCCAATAAACGGTATTCATCGTGGCAATACAGTTTGTACATTTTCTAGCAATGGAAGCATAATATACGTCAATCTAGCTTACAATTCTCTATCAGGAACTATCCCCAACAAGTTTGGTTCCATGAGCAACTTGCAGGTCCTTAACTTGGGGCATAACAAGCTAACTGGAAATATTCCTGATACTTTTGGAGCTCTAAAAGCAATTGGGGTTTTGGATCTTTCTCACAATTATCTTCAAGGATCTATACCGGCATCTTTAGTGACTCTCTCTCTCCTCAGTGATTTTGATGTCTCTAACAACAATCTCTCTGGTTCAATACCGCGTCATGGTCAGTTAGTCACTTTCGTATCAAGCAGATATGAGAATAATTCTGGTCTTTGTGGGTTTCCATTGCCCCCCTGTGGCTTTGAAAGTCATACGCCAAGTTCTTTCTTACAAAAGAAGAAGTCTTTGACGGAAGAAATGGGTTTTGGAGTTCAATTTTTTATCACTTTCTCTGTTGCATTTTTTGTCACTTTCCTGGTCTCATTTTTTATTAGTATCAAGATGGGTATTGGCAAGGAAAAGAGCATTTTTGGGCTAGTGAGGTGGTAAATTACTTCTTAAGAAGTTGCAGGAAAACAGGAAAAGCTTACAATTTAATTGTATAGTAAATCAATATCATCAAGACATTGCTAAATTAACATCAAAACATACAAAAATATAAATGGTGGAATTACTTGTCTTTCCTTCTTACTTCCTTAACCTCTGAATAACCACGTTACTTTAACTTCTAAAACTAAATATTATAATATCTTACTAACCTGTAAAAGTACAATCTCATTTTCAGCAGAAACACTCTTTTAACATTCACTTTGCCCTTCAAGAAGAATGTCATATTATAATTTCTAAAACCTGTCAATCCTGAAATATGGGTTCCGAGATAGATCATGACATTGGCAACTAAAGTCTCTTAACAGTCTAAGCAAAGCATCTAGTTAGCAGCATATTAGCTCAATCACCACAACCATAAGACACTTATTCTGTTCTTTCACAATTGCAAGTAATTCTCACATAAAAAATATCCAGATTTAATTACATAAATCAACTTGCAGCAGCATCAGCAATCTGACCATAATTGTTCCTTGCAGAAACATTTTTATTTCTTAAAAAATATGATAAATTTAGCATTTCACATTTCGCGCATTAACATGAATATAGCAGGTAGATGTAAAATTTATCCAATGCTGAGTGCTCCCGACAGAACAATCTTGGAATCATCCTCCTGCCAGTTGGTTCTCGAAACCCATTAACACGAGATTCTATTAAAGCTCAAACATCAACCAATCCATGATCAACAGCATCATGCATTATGCAGTATGCATAATTGGGCTTCAACAATACCCACTTCTAACCTGGCAATCAACGAGCTATAGCATCAGAATTCACAAATATTTGAGCATGCCCCGACCTTCCACACTGAGTTTTGTGGCTTGCAATTGCTTCTTTTTTGGTGCCTTCAGCTGTTGCAACTTCTTATTCATCTGCAATTCAATATATTAGTTTAGAAATCTGAGCTGAGAACAAAGAATAAAAAAATAATAAATTGAACTCAAAGAATTTTACAGCCTTAGTAAAGAGTAATAAATTACAGCAAGTTGAGCACAAGCAGCGTATTCTCAAAAAGAAAAAATAATAATAATAATAATAATAAAGAATGAACCAAACAGTAAATTAAGATGTGGATATGCAAAACTTTTTTTTCTTAGAACATGTAATTGCAACTCGATATTATATCTCAGAATTCCTCTAAATAATGAAGGCACTACTGCCTGCTCCAAAAGACTTGCAGATATAGTCCCATCATCTGTACAAATTATCTACTGACTTGGACTTGGAGACAATTTTATCTACAGAAAAAAAGAAAACCAACCTTTAATCGCCGCTGATCTTGTACTACTTGTTTAGCACGGGCTCTAATTTCTTCAGGGTCAATCTTAGACTGAGGGCGCACCACAAAGTCCAATGGAGTTGCTTCTGGCCTAGAAGCATGTTGCCTTGAAGATGATTGGCCAGATCTTCGTTCCCTTTTTTTTTTAAAAGATAAAATTTTACATCATGAGTATACTGTGAAAAGTGAAAATAAAATTGGAAAAAGGGTGTATGGAAAAATACAAGATTTTGTTCTTCTATTAAACTTACCGTGAAATATCCAAATCCAGATCACCATCCCTAGATTCCATCCCTGCAGAATTATTCACTGGCCTGCCAAGGAATCGCAGAAAAATCAATTTCAAAACACAAATACAAACTTACATATTAGCCATATATAAAAATTGACAATACAAAGGCAGAAAATACCTCCTTATGGTCGGCCTTCGGAAGGCTCGGTCATCATCAATGTTTCTCATGTCCTCAAACCTTGTACTCTTATTAAATATGGGTCGACTCTGTATTTGTTTTCAGGAGTACAAGTTAATATTTCCAACAAAAAATGTTCAAGATAAATTTAATCAACATTAAACATAAGTATAAACCCAAGGTTTTAACTCCTAAAACGATTCACTTGTAAATGAATGCAGACTTTAAGAGAAAGCCAGGGTAAACAATTTAACAAACCAAGAGTTGAAAGACGAATAGCATTACCCATTTATCAACCAAATCCTTAGCAAGTTTTCTGTTGGATGTGGTTTCCTCATCGGATTTTGATAAGAACATAATTACCTATACAAAGACATTGGACTGTCAAGTTTTTGCCCAGTTAAAAAATTGCAAACAAAGAGTTAAATAATAAACATATTGTTGGACAAGAAGATTAACCTTTCCAAGACCACTTTTCTTCAACTGCTCTCTTCTATCATACTGTTCCAGATCAATTGGAAACTGCATGGAAAAAGGAAGCATTCAGGCTAGAGAAAAAATGTTTCCACAGAATCAAGCCAACAATTATTACTAGACAGGATTGAGAAGCGGCTAGAGAGAGTTAAATAGGACTAATGAGTTTTGGCTCAATGGTCTGGGGATCATCTCCATGACTGCGAGGTCTCAAGTTAGAACCCCAATCAGAGCCAAATTAAACAAACAAACAAACACAAAAAAAATAAAAAATAAAAAATAAAAAATAAAAAATAAAAAAAGAAAGAAAGAAAAGCAACAGCAGGGGACATCTACATACATCAGTCAAAATCCTCAAAATTGCAGCACGGATATTTATATTGGGCAAACTTCCATCTGGAAGAGGTTCAAGCCAATTTTTTAGAAGAGTTAGTACACCATGATCTATGAATTCCTGCTGGAGCTGCTTCCTGCACCAGAATAATTGAAAAGAATAGAAGAATTATGAATTCCGTGGAATCAAAAACAGACCATACACACTTGTGGCAGAAACCAACTTACTTTGAGAGAACCTCAGTAAGAAGTGGTAACTTCTTAAGTTTATTGATGGCAGGCTTCCCCCGTCTATTTAATTCTGCATCCTCTTCAGCTGTTACCTCAAGCTCAGCCATGACATTCTCAACTAACAGCGCAATTTCTGCAGGACTTTTCTCATTTTTCTTCTTTTTCTTACCCATTTTGAAAAGCTGTTTTATTTCATCATCTTCCTCACCCTCCTCAGCCTGGCAACAGCAGAAATCAAAACAAGATCTAAAAGTAAAGAACTTAATAGACACCAAAATAAATAAGTAGTGCCTTGATCAGCAACTAGAACAAGATATTTCAATAGATAGTTCAGAAGATGCAGCATCAGATACTTGAATCAACAGTGAGAATGTACGTTGGAAAAAAAAAAAAAAAAAAAAAACGTAGGATTGCCAAGGGCTTCAATAATAAAGCACAATAGATGAAGTTTGCATAGTATTATTATATTATACGTATAATGTGAGAAGTTATTTTATAAAAGACATTAGATCAAGAGGGAAAAACAGATTAAGAATGAAATGGAAGGTGTGCAAACAGAAAACAATGAAATACTAACCTGAGGAGCATCACCAGGAGAGCGTGGTTCATTGTCACTCCCATATCGATCAGCAGGATCTAAACCGCTGTCATCTATAAAGTTGTCATCATCTATATTCCTGGGACCCTCTTGATCATCCTATTATAACCAAAATCATAGTTAGATAAATCTTTAATAAAGATAATGAACCAACAGGGTGTTTTCAAGAAATTTCTCTAGAATCTCACAGCCTTCAAAAATAAGGCAGTGGGGGATGATCTTAAGCATAGTAATGCATAAACAATCATAACAACTAAACATGTAATCAAATATTTGTAACACATAGAATTTTGACATTGAGAGAAAATATAAATGGCCAAATACATCATTCAATTTTGACAAAAAAAACCTTGTAGCGCTCTGAATTACATTTTTTGCAACAATTTCATACCTCCTTACACTAAACACAGTAAATTTTAAGATTTTTTGCCTTTTATACGCAAATATTGGTTTGATATGTGGTCAATACAACTTTTGGAACAATAATTTTACATTTTTTAATTTTTCAATAAGTGTTCAATCGATTTAATTTTATAAGTTGAGGTGTCCAATAGGTCAAATAAAATATTTAACAGGCAATTTTATAAGTTGAAGTGTTCAATGTGTCGAAACAAAAATTGAGGGTGCCACAAGGTTTTTTGTGAAAAGTACAAGGGTGAATTTATGTATTGCGCCAAATATAAACCAATGTCAAACTTTAATGGGCAAATAGAGCAGGAAAATCAAACAGATCAGATTATGCAGATCTAAATGTAAACTCATAAATCTACCAAACAGACCTGGTGTAGAAGACATAAACCTCAACTAATAAAAATACCAAACAGCAAAAGTACAAGGATCTCCAATTTGCCTCATACAAAGAAATACTAGTTACTTAACTCCAACATTAAAAGTCTATACGCTCAAATGATATTAAAAGCAAACAATTGATTCCATATACCCAATATAACCTCACTCACATAAGGAACAGTTTAACATTTCACAGATTACAGTATCAGCACTGGATTATCATCCTCAATAGAGAACTAAAATAAGCCACCCCAAATTAAAGGATAATAACAAGATTAGCAACAGGAATCCTAACTAAGGAAGAAAATCCTCTCTCTACAAATTAAAACCAATTTCTATTAATTTACTATTCATCAATCACCACCATAGGCACTAAGAGAACATCAAATGGGTAACAAACAAAATCAACAGCATACAAAATATCAGCTGTAAATTAGGCCAACCAAAAAAAAAAAGAGAAAAATAGAGAGAGAGAAAAGAAAGCTTAAAACCTCAGAATCACCACCAGCAATAGTATCCCACATCTCCTTGACCTCACCATCTTCCTTTCCGGCCAGCTTCTCTGAATACATTCCCTTCTTCAGCAATCCTGATTTTGAATGACTTGCCCCCTTCCCTCCACTATTTCCATACTTCTTATCTCCCTTTATAACCTTTTTTCTCTCCTTCCCACTACTCCCAGCCCCTTCCTTGCCCAATTTCTTTCTCTTTTTCCCTTCCATCGCATACTCCCTCCCAAATCCCTCTTCTTCATCCTCATCGACCAACTCAGGCACCACAAAACTACCCTTTTCCCCCATCCCAGAATTGCTCTTCTTCACCAACCTCTTTCGAGGCTTTTCAACTTTATCATTGTCATATACAGGAGTTTGTGACCTCTCTCGCTCTTGCTCACCCCATCCATCAACATCATCCTCTACGAGATCATCCTGGTGAGGTTCTGGCGACTGTCCACCGTCAGATTGTATATCATCGTAGTCCATCAACGGCTCTCCATCCTCATCACGATACCTAAAATTGGAACAGTGAATGGAGTATGATATCATCGATACCTTAAGCTTAATTCTTGAGAGGAGTGTAAATGATGAGTTTGAGAGATTTAAATATCAAAAAATTAAAAAGAAAAAAAAAAAAAAGAGTTCCCTCAACAGAAAAAAAAAACAAGGAATTTCGAACACACTAACCCTAAATTATGATTACAGAGACGAAATGGAAGCAAATAAATATTCGAAAAGAAAAGGAACCATAAACCAAAATCAACAATTGCAGAGATGAAAAGATAAAGAAAATTAAATCTAAGAAATATAAATTGGAAAAACAGAAAGTAACCCCATTATTGAGACAGAGAGAGAGAGGACACTTACGGATCATCCTCGTAACCCATGGTAAGGGTCCCGGCGGCGGCAGCTGCTGCGTCGGCTTTGATCAGAGAAAATCTAAGAAGGATGGAATAGAAATCGAGATAGCTAAGAACTGAGAAATTGATTTTCAGACTTTTTACGTTTTAAACAAAAGGTCCACCGATCTACATATATGAAAGCTATTTTTCTTTTAGAAAATTGTAAGTTATTTCTTTTTTTTTTTATTTTCATTGGCCAATTTAATTAATTTTTCAATCTATCCATCTATAAATATATAATTTTTAAGGCATAAATATTTCTATTAAGGCATAAATATGGCAACATAATAAAATATAAAATTGATGATATGACATTTTATTTTTCATTATAATTAATATTTTTTGCATTTAATAAAAATTACATTAAAATTTTTTATTAAATAATGGAGTTACAACCTAATAAATTTAATTGATGATTTCATTATAATTAATATTTTTTACATTTAATAGTTAGAGTCATAGTTCATAAAAATTAATTAAATAATATAGTTACATTAACAAATAGAATTAAAATATTGATTTCAATTCAGTAATTTATTTTATTAAAATTGAATATTCTATACATCATCTAATTTGACTATATGAAAATTTTAAAGAGAAAAAAAAGTTAATTAACTATAATCAGTAATTAATTGTGCTAATTAATATGTCAATTCATTACTTACGGATTTTTAAAAGAGTTTATAATTTTACTTTTCATTTTTAATTAAAAATACATAAGTAAATTATTTACATTAATATAAATTAAAATTATTTTCTTAAAAATTACATTTGATTTAAGTGAAAAATAGAGAATTATACATTCCGTAGGTACATGACTAATTAGTGATAACTTTGGACACCTAATTTATTCTAATCATCTCATCTAATCCAACTAAATTTTTTTTCTTATTTATATGTGTAAACTTACATCTATTACATGAGTGCTTCTGCTTTGGTGTTGTTTTTGGCAAGAAACAGATCTCTGCTATGAGAAAGGGAAGTAGAGAGTGAAAACATACAATCAAGAAACAGAATATAATAAAGCCAATCAATATAAGAGATTGTATCTTAGCAGCATAGTCATCGGTTAGATAGATATTATGTGAATTAAATTTCTTTACAATTATAGAGATTGTACCTTAGCAGCATAGTCATCATGATTTCTTTTTTTGCAATAATGAATACCCTTTACTATCTAATAATCTTAGAAATGTAACAACAATCCGAACAACTAGAGTTTAATCATATTAGATTATTGGAAAGAATGGCATCAACCTCCTCTTTGGAGAAGGTTTTTCTTTATATACATGATAAGGGAGGGAGAAATATATGGGCATTATCTTCTAAGATCACACGCATATCTTATGTTCTGTTACATGAGGTGGTCCTCAAATCTTGGTTTAGATCGGTGTCTATCACATGTCCCCCCCCCCCCCCTTTATATCATGATAAGGAGGGAGAAATATATGGGCATTATCTTCTAAGATCACACGCATATTCTTATGTCTGTTACATGAGGTCGTCCTCCAAATCTTTGGTTTAGATCGGTGTCTATCCCACATGTCCCCCCGCCCCCCCTCTTTTAGCCCCCCCCCCCCTCTTTTAGTCTTTACAGCCAACTTGGAAAAACTCGACTTACGTTCTAAAAGCGAGGTGACTAAATGAAAAACCCTTTACTGAGCGGGACATAGCCCATCTTGAGGGTGTGTGCTAATCTGTAGGATTCTGGGCTTAGAGTTGACCTACTTAGTTTATAAGTCCAGGGGTAGTAGTGGAGAGCTATCAAATAACTTGCAGTGTAACTATTACCTTTAATGGTAATTATATTTTTAAATTTCAAAAGGGTGACTCTTCATTTGCTGCGGTGCTTCAGTTCCTGGTGACGGTTCACGAGACTTCCCCTACTATATGAAGAGTTGTGCTTATATTTTCTGGATTTTTATGAGATTGTGGTTTGATATCCCTTTCTCTTCTAAACTTGCTACTTGCTCTTTTATTCTTCAGGTAATATTTATTGCCATCTTACTTGCATTTTTAGTTTTTTTCTTATCTACTTATTTTTGAAAATGAATACCGATCACTGAAATAAGGGTAAGGCCCTTGTCTCTAAGTTTTCCAACTCCCTAGGTTCTGGAGGTGAGCAAGTGGGTTTGGGGGAGGAGAACTGAAACAACCCGAATTTTTATTTTCAAAAATTTTCCAATTAAATTTAATAAACAGACAGCCTGGAAATGTATTTAATTATTTGAATGCAAATTAATAATTCATACAGTGATAAACCGTGCCGAAAACCAACTGAAAAATCGAAAATCAAATAATAATTGAGATTTGGGCTGAAGCGAACCTGAACCGAACCGAATCAGCCCAAACCATCTAGAAACATCTCCTTTCTTTGTTTTTTTGTTCTTCAATGCTCATCTCCCTCACCATTTTTGCGCCACTAGTCCACCACCGACACTGCCATCAGCCTCCCTCACCATTTTTGCGCCACTAGTCCACCACCGACACTGCCATCAGCACACTGTCAGCGCCACCACCTCCTCCTCTCTTCTTCTTCTTCTTCTTACTTTCTTTTCTTTTTCTTTCTTTCTCTTTCTTTTCCCTGCGCCTGCGACTCCGTTGCTGGTAGAAGCAGATCGCGCCTCCACCAGCTCGAGCGGAGCCATAGCGCCACTGCCGCTCCTCACCGCCGCTCACCATTCTTCACAGCCTCCGTCTAGCGAGCACCATAGACAGGAGCAGCGTCTCAGCTCAGTTGCAGCCCCAGCACGTCTCCGACCACCAGGAGCATTTCTGTCGCGCCTGTAGTTGCGCCGCCAGCTGGTCCGCCACCAGGTCGCGCCACCACTACAAGTCAGCCCCTCCTGCGTCGATCTCAGGTGGTCCAATCGCTTCCAGCACGCGTAGTTTCAATCCGGTACACGTAAAATCCCGATCCTGCAAGAAAATTATATTTTGGGGTATAAATTAATTTTGATAATTTTAGTTAATTAATTTAATGAATTGTGGTTAATTGAATTTAGTAATTTTAGTTAGTTTAATTTTAGTCATTGGGAGTAGTTAAATTAATTTGAATTAATGTTGATTTATTGATTTGATTGATTTATTGATTAATTAAAATATTTGACTAGTTAAATTTAATTCTAGTATTACATAAATTTGTTAGGAAAGTTTGATAATAATAAATTTATGGAATTTAAATGTGGACTTAAAGTAGATGAATTGGCAGGTAATTTGAATTTATAAATTATGGATATAAGGTAGTGTGGATATTGTGATTCGGATGGAGGAAGGGAAAAATTAAATTGATTGATTAATCGATGGATGGGCTGTGAGAACTTGATAAAATGATTGATCGAGTTAATTGGTGGATAGTTGAATTTTAGGGGAAGTGACGTCGAAATTTCGGTAGAAAATAAAATTAATTATAGAAATCAAATTATTTATAGAGATTAAATTATTTATAGAAATTTAGTAATTAAAAAATATAGAATAAGAATTATTAGAGTTGATAAATAAATAAGGAAAACCCATATATATATATGCATATTTAACAAATGCATATTAACAAGTGAATTAAATGACCGATAACCAAAATAAATAAACGAATGTTATTTAAAAAAAATTCTTATTTAGGATTTTCTTGTTTATTTTAGAGGTTTATAAAATTTCGAAATGCGAGGACAAAGGGTGGAAGCATGTGGCTAGAAAGGCAGTCTCCTTAGGGGACAATAAAGAATTGTGAGTAGTGTTAGATAATTAGTATCATCCGCCTACATTCATGCATTCACGGCTAAATGTTATCATGCATTAATTTATTGAATTGCCATATTGTGGTGCACTACTTGTTGATATAAAAAAAAATTGTCTGATTACTTGTGCTGTGTATATACTGTGCTTTGTTTGTGTGGAATTGAGATGAAGTGGGTCACTATGGGTTTGTGAGACCGTTACCGTTATATGAATCATGATTATCGTTACCGTTATATGCCGTTACCGTTATATGGATCCATTACCGTTAGCCGGGTAAATGGGAGATCGGCGCCCCCGTGTGCACCTACCGTTACCGTTACTTTTACCGTTAACCACAGGATGGCTTCCGTCGTTGTGCACCGGACAGTCTTAGATTGATTCGCAGCCCGCAGGTGGGCCTCCTGTTGTGAGCGCCTGATTGATCTAGATTGGATGGAGACCACCGGGTGCTCCCTGGTTGGTATTAAAAAAAAAAAGAGAGAGGAGAATGAAAAAATAATGAGGGAGGCTGGTCAAGTGAGGACTTAAGACACCCGGGAGTCGGCCAGTAATGGGGATCACTCCCTGGTCACACGTGAGTGGATGAGCCATTGTGGGAGGATGCTTCATCAGGGTTTCGGTGACTCCACTACTAATTTCCGTGACTCCACTGACTAATTTCCACGTGATGTGATTATATGAAGGTGATAATAATTGTGATTGCTGTTGTATTGCCATTTGTGTGACAATGACAAACTGCATGATCATATAATTAAACGGTAACCAGATAAAAATATTTTCGTATCTGTGTGATTGTGTGGGGTGAGAGGGTTATCTAACCCTACTCATTGAGTTTGGCGCTCACCCCTGTCTACTATTTTTTTTCAGGTAATAGAAAGAAAAGAAAGCCCTATGGAGTTGATACAGTTATTGTAGAAGACGGTTAATGATAGAAATGACGATGTAAATATAAAGGTAGATTTCCGCAATTGTATTCCAGTTGGGTTGTAAATGAATAATAAAAGTCCATCTTAAATATATGAACTGTATTTTGGATACATATGTGAAATAAGTAAATGGGCCTGAATCCATAATTATAGGCTTACTTTACGGGCTTTTGGGGGCGCCTTAAGCCCACCAGGTCTAGTGCCGGTCCGGCCCCACGGGAAATGGGTTCGTGACAAGAACTATAGTTCTTTTAGGCATAGCTTGATTAATAGGAAATGAGGTTTGCATAATCTAGGCTTACTACGGGCTTTGGGGGCCTTAAGCCCACCCAGGTCCTAGTGCCGGTCCGGCCCACGGAAATGGGTCGTGACAAGAACTTAGTTCTAGGCATAGCTGATTTTGACTCAAACTCAGAGGAGGAGATTCAGCTAATAAGGCAAAAGGCTACAGAATATCCCTGCTTTTGTCTGCCGCCACGATTCGGGTTCGACTTCTAATCCTGGGATTGTCATTCCTCAACTGCATGATGAAACTAACCCTGAGCAATCCCCTAAACCTCAAGAAGAAGAGCCTGCCTATTCTAGACAGCAAAATGTGAGGGTTAGGGATCTAAAATCCATATTGACCGAGCACGATCTGGATGATGATATACATGCTTAGTACTTTATCCTTGTTGAGTATATAATAAGGGTTCCTCCTGCTGGGACGAGGGCCAATGCCAGGTTAGACCACAAGACGCTAATTGTCTATGTGGAGGATTATCGCGCGGGTGTGCAGTTTCCTCTACCCTCCATTCTTTCTTCTTTCTGTAATGAATGAGGGGTGACTATCGATTAGATAGCTCCTAGTAGTATCCACATGATATTGGGCATGGAGATTTTGGCTTACCAAAAGCAGTTTCAGCTTAATGTGCACCATTTGCACGCCATGTTCCATTTTACCTAAAGAGGGGCGAAAGATTATCCCCACTTGAAAGCTTAAAAGGACTATAACCTTTTTTCGATGAAGAGTTTATCGATTAAAAGAAGGTGGAAAGAGACTCATTGAGCATCCTGGAGGGTTTAGGATACCCACTCACTAGAGTCAGGGGGTACCTCGCCTTAGGCGTCCCAGGGATTTGACTGCTGTGGAGATTAGGCAAGTCAAGATAATGAAGCAGCATGCTCTGAATCCTCCTCACCTTCTCCCCTTATTTGATTCTAATATCCCAGTGGGTGTCACCGCAGGCTTCTAGGTGGAGAACTCGAGAGACAAAGTGTGGGCTCAGCTTACTTGTATTCCTCAGTTTGTTACTAACTCCCTTTATTTAACTTGTCTTCTTCCTCTAAAAATGCCTTCGAAGCTTACCAAGGAGATGAGGGAACACATGGCGGCTAATCGGGAGCAACTTCTTGCTGTTCGAGCAGGACAAAGCCCTTCGAGGGGTTTAGAACCTCAACGTGGCCATTTGCGATGGTCTGAGGTAGTGGCCCTAGTATCGCCAATGCGTCCCCTTGTGGCTGAGTTACCTCACCCTGAGTCTTACGTCCCAGGAGAATCTGTTATCGTGGCTCCTCCCTCTACTCAAAAGAGTCCTAAGCTCCATCGAAAGAGTAAACGTCAAAGGGGTGGGACGATGAGCCATCTTCTCCCATTTCTGAGAAGGGCTTAGAGTTGCGGACCACCATGAGAAGCAAGTACAGGAAACACGCCTCTGCCAATAGTTGTGAGGTTGCTCGGGTCCTAGCATCTTAGTGCGTCCTTTCGGTGGACTTGGCACATCTGGAAGGCATGGAGGAAGAGTCCTTTTTGGACCAGATTGATAGTGGGCTTCTCACAGTATATTATTTATCTCCCCTCCTATTTGGCTACTCCTATTTGTCTTCTTCAATTTTATGGTTGATAGATTTTTTAGCTGGTGAGTGCTCATAATGATACTCGGAGATGTATGAGGGAGTTGTGGGAACTAGTTGCGACTTTGAAGGAGAACCTACGAGTCGAGCAGACTAAGGTGGGGAATCTGGAGAAGGATGTACAGACCCAAGCTTTGGAGCACAGTTGTTTTGTTAAGGAGCTGGAGGAGAAGATTCGCGTTGTCACAAAATATAGGGATTCTTATCTGGATTCCTCTTTGAAACTAAGTGCCCAAGTGAGGGACTTGGTCAAGCGGGGGGAAGAGAGTGATGTTGTTGTGCGCTAACTCCAAGCAGATGTAGCTCGAGCAGAGGCGAATGAAGATTTGGCCACCTGTGCTATAAATGATATGCTCCTGCAATAGGCCAATCTTATAAAGGCTAAGCTATGCTCATGGTATCCCGACGAAGACTGGAGTTTTGTGAATGAAGTTGATGTTTATAAAGACTTGGATACTAAGGAGGAGGGAGCAGCTGTAGACGCTGATGTCTTGGGTGGAGATGTGGGAACTTCGGGGGCACAGGATGCATTAGGGCCTACTATTTTCGCGGGGCCGAGCATCAAAGGCATTGAGCCTGCACCATCCTCTGAGGCGATTGATGATCCTCCTGTTGTAGAGTAGTTTTTTGGTTATGGTTCTCTTTCTTTTCTTCTCTTTTTTTTTATGTGTATATAAATAGAAATCTTTTATGTAGCTTTGGCAATTCCTATATATGCTCGATGTATTTGTTGTCTTAATCTCTTTCTTCCTTCAGATTTTCTCTTCTCTTTATTTAAACAAATATTTTAGAATTTTTATTATATGATTGATGGGAGCTTGGACCTTTATTTACTTGGATATTTCCTGCCTATAGCGACTTCTCTTAGAGTTTTATTGCATACTTGTTATAGGCTCGGTCCTTTATATACTTAGTATTTTTTGCCTCCAATGAACTCTCTTAGAGTTTTATTGTATGCTTGGTAGGGGCTCGACCCTTTATTTACTTAGGCATTTTTTTGCCTTCTTATGCTCTCTTAAAGCTTTAATGAATAGTTGATAGGGGCTCAACCCTGTTGTATGTAACCTGATGAATGTCCAAGTTCTGAGAATATCTTGGCTTTCATTATCATTTGCAAAAGCCGAGGAAAAAACTTAGCTTTGCAAGACCCTTTATTACTCTAGTCTCGAGCCCCCCTGTAGACGCTTAATTTTTGTGCAACAAGGACTCAGTGAGATATTTGATTAATTTGATTCTCTTGACCGATGATCCGAGTTTAAAAAATTTAACCCATCACACCATTTTCATGTTTTCAGGGTTCGCATCGAAATAGGGCTCGGAAACGCATCTCGAGTACGCCCGTGGCGCATCCAGATGCACTCTTCATTTTGCATGCCACTTGGGCTAATTTCGTGAAAACCGGACTCGACCCATTTTTGGGGCCCATTTAACTGCCGAAATGGCGCATGTTATCCATCCAAGCTATTCAGAGAATGCAAACCAATTAAGTATTTCTTACTTACACGTCTATTTTACACTTTAATGACATCTTATTTGAAAAGCAAAATATCATCAAAGTGGGGGCAAACTGTAGAAGCTCAATTTTTGCCCAAAAAGGACTCAGTGATGACAAACCTTTTTATGATAAAATGAGTTTCAGATATCCCATGAATTTGATTCTCGGATCGATGATCCGAGTTTAAGAAATATAACCCATCGGTCCATTTTCACATTTTTAGGGTTCGCATCGAAACATGGCCTAGAAACGCATTTCGGATATGGTCGTGGCGCATCCCAGTGCACTGCCTCATTTTGCGTGCCACCCAAGCCGATTTTGAGAAAACCAAACCCGGCCCATTTTTTGGGCTCATCAGTGGCGCTTGCCACCTAAGCCCTAAAAATGGGCAACACTCCCCACCCATTTGCCTATAAATAGAGGCATGGGGAATGGGTTAAGGGAGGATTTTTTTGTTGCGTAGCCAAACTCTTGCAATTTTGACTCTCAAAAACCCCTTAATTCAAATCCTTAGCAAGTGTTATTAATTTGACATTAAGGGAGAACATTTTTATACACAAAACTCCACTGGGTTTGGCAATTAATCTTTCCTAAAACACAAATCAATCAAACAAACTCAGATCATTGATAAGAGAACTAAGTTCTTGGGTGTTTCTATCATTTGAGATCCAAATCTCAAGTTTTTCCTTAAAGCAAGGTAAATTGAGAGTCTAAACTGTTTCTCTTCCTCTTTTCCTTCTCATTTTGGTGTTAAATCACCGTACTTAAGTCTGGTTGTGAGGGAAACCCGTGATCAACCAAAAGAAGGAATTATGGGTGTTAGTGGCAAAAGCCACACACTATGGCACATGCCACAACACTAACGGTGTAAGCCACAATGTAGTGGCGCATGCCGCAAGCATGAGCCTTATGCCACTTCTTCCTAGAATGCTCCATAATGCTCATTTGCGGATATTCTGATCAAGGTAAGATCCATGCCACTACGTGTGGCGTGCGCCACTTCTAATGGTGCACAGACCTTCATTTTAGAAGCCAAACAACATAAAATCAATAACTATGCATTGATTCTGGGATTCAATGGAGTTAAGCCTTAAGTATTCTTGCTTAAAATGCGTTTTGAACTCATATTGATCTGGATGAGCAAATAAAGAAGGAAAATGAGTAGTGATGGTCATATTTCTTCATCATTCATGATGAACAACAAATTCTTGAACTCAAATCTCATTTTAAATTAAATAACAACAATTTATTATTCTGTCATTTACTTTCTAGTTCTTTAAATTTCAGTTCTTTAATTATTATGCACTTTACTTTAATGTTATTTAGTAACCCCTTTAACTTTAGTATTAGAACACCTTAACATTATTATTCATCATTTTGTCATTATTGAATGAATGTATGTCTTGTGTTTCTTGGTTTGTTATTATTTTGTGGTTGTTATTCTTTATGTTTGGATCATTGTTTTATTCATTATGTTAAGCTAAATGTAAAGGGTCCTTGATGGGATTCCTATTATTGCTTGTTGTAACAATTAGATTGGGTTTGGGAAATTTGGAGGGTTTGAGGGTAGATTGTAATAATTAGGTTGGTTTGTATTCTATTCTCCTCACCCCCCTTCTTTGGATGGTTTATTTCATGTTGTATGAATGAGATTGAATGTGTGTTTGACATGTTTTCTAAAATGCATAAAAGGTTTTACATCTCAATTTTTAGTTAATTGCATTATTAAATTATTGTGAATTTAGATTTTGTAAATAATTTTA